AGCCGGCCTGCACGCAGTGACTCATAAAGCCATTATTGGTTTCATTAAGGTGGTTCAAGAAGCACTTTTAACCCCTGAAGCTGATTATGTCATGTTTGCTGTCCTCGTAGGGCTGTCATCCTCTCTAAGCAACCCTTCCATCCAGGCGTCCCTCACCAACTCTCAGCTACACTCATCTCTCAGCAATCCATCAATCCACACATCTCTGCGTCTCTCCTCGCTGTCCAACCCTCCTCCGACGGGCCTGGCGAGTTCACCCAGGAGAAGGCCGGCCCCCATTAGTCCCCTGACACTCTCTCCAGGGGGCGATCAGAGGCGAAGCCTGGGCAAGCAGCTCTCCCCGACAATGTCGCCCTCTCTCTCTCCGATCACACAGGTGAGAAAGTGCTCATTAAAACTCCTCATCCAGCATCTCATGTTCTTCGGTGGTATCTTTACTCAATCCTCATCCAGACCATCACCGGCTTCTTGTATTAAACTGCTTACAGGGCTCCAGAGTGTGTCTAATGTGGTTAGACTTTTCAGGACTACAAATAAAAAAAGGAAAAATGTAGTTATGCATTACAATTGTCTGCTGTTAATGCTGCAAGTCAAACAAACAAATGTATGGTGATACATCACTACCGATTGAACCACACAACACAGTCCAGTTATATACATGGCATGAGTGAATAGCAAAGGGTTGTTTATTTATTCAGATGTTCCAATTCGATTCGATTTCAATTTTCAAGCTCTCAATTCGATTCGATTTTCGATTCGATATTCGATTTCGATTCGATTTTTGATTTCAATTCTCGATTCGATTTGACTATATGAATGAATATAGATTTAATACAAATCCTATATTTATAAAAAATGAACAGTGAACATAAGATTACAAATGGTTAATTAATAGGAAATTAAGAGCCACAAACCTGTATATTAAACACTTTTTATTTTAGGTACACTTGGGTACAATAAAACAAAACTCTATATTCAAATGCGTACAATGAATAGACAGAATTTTGATGCAAGATGAAAAACTGATGCTGAAAATTGGACAAGTCAGAACAGTCGCATGCCTTGATCAAACAGGATCAGGTTATTTTATGTGTAAGACAAAACAAACATAAAATCTCACAGCATTAGCTGTAACATGGAGGCTGCGAGCCTATGAATGGTGTAGGAAAACTAATACTGGCTTTTGGGTGATAGTTCACCCAAAAATAAAAATTCTGTCATCATTTATGCATGTATGAATTTCTTTTCTTCTGTTGAACACAAAAGAAGACATTTTGAAGAATATGGATAACCAAACTGTTTTGGTCCCCATTGACTTCCATATATTTTTCTCCATACTATGGAAGTCAAGTCAATATGGCCCATCAACTGTTTGGCATATAGCTTTGTTCTTGTCCACAGTATCTTTGTCATCGTGCTTGCGAAATCTAAAATGCTTCCATACCTCTGACTTTTTAAGGTGGTGTTGATGTCGGGAACGCACCTGAATCCGCCATTTTAAAGCAATGAAGGAATGACGGACTCTCCATTGTAACATCGCGCAAGGCAAATAAGGGGGTGACATCTAGTGGATTAGACTAGTAATAAGATTAACGTAAATCTTATGTTCAATGTTTGTGGAAATAAATATTGAAAAAAATCGATTCGTGGCCTTCGAGAATCGATATTGAATCGACCACATTTTTAAAAACTATATATCGAAAAATCAATTTTTTTTGGCCCAGCCCTATTTTTGAGATTTGGATGACACCCCACTGATCAGTTTTGATCCTGCAAGGTTTTCTAACAGATTTCTGTGTTGAATTTTATTGGTTGCACTGAGCAACACTGTTCATATTGGTCTGGATTTTGTGGCACAACAATTTGAATTCAACACAGAATTCTTTGCTACAAATGGTTAAAATTTCATTTTATACTCACTCATGTCATTCCATTCAAAAATACAGTACAACTAAAATATTGTGAAATATTATTACAATTAAAAATAACAGTTTTCTTTTTTTATGTATTTAAAATGCGTTTTTTCCTGTAAGTTTGTATTCCTGTATTCTAGTCTTCAGTGTCACATGATCCTTCAGAAATCATTCTAATATGCAGATTTTGTGCACAAGAAACATTTCTTATTATCAATGTTGAAAACAGTTGTTCTGCTTACAGACCCCAAACTTTTGAACAGTGGTGCATGTCATAATATATATTATAAAGAGCAATTGAAGTTTAGACCCTGTGGTTAATTAAAAAAAAGTTTTTGTAACGTACCGAATCAGATGCTTCCCTGTATAATTTACAGCAACCACAGAGAAAGCAAGACGGAAATCAAATTGAATCAAGATTTTGGGAATCAAAATGTAGTCTAATCGAAATAGGAATTCCGAATCAACACCCAGCCCCAGTTATTGATTTTGAAGGAGCTCTTTTCCAAACAATGGCTCTTCATAATTACCATGTCTGTCATGCTGCTAAAATGAAAATAAAAAGGGCAAAGAAGTGGTCCATATGACCTGTGTAGTGTCTTCTAAAATCATACATCATTTTTTTGTGTGTGTGGAACAGAATACCAAATCAGGTACTAGTGCCATCTGTAAAACTTGCCATCATTCTCATGTTTTCCAAAAATGTATTTATTTTGTGGAGCCCTGTGCTTACAAGTGTGGCAGCTGGTTTGTTGTTCATGTCTGCCAAGAACAGGGTGTTCTGTAGCGTACCGTAGCTAAGCTCAGTCAAATGATCTGATAAGTTTCCCATTCTCTTTAGGGTGTTGCCTTGGACACCAGCAACTTGCCGATGGAGCCGCCCCCTCCCTACCCCCTTTACCAGCAAACCCAGCAGCCCCTGCAGCAGCATCAGCAGCAGCAACCTCCTCCCCAGTCCCATCCGTCTATTCAGCAGAGCTCTCAGCATCCAGCGGTGCAGCAACGACCAACAGGTGGCCAACAGCAGCACCAGCAGCACCAGCCTGTGTCCCCACTGCAGAGCGTCCCGCTCGACTTTAATTCCAGTGCTGTGAGTTCCTATTGAAACATTAGTTGAAACAGGGAGCTGAGGAGAATAACTAATATTCAGCAGTTACAGACGCTGGTTATTCTTGGCTTAACAGGAAAACACTGAATCTTGTTTTTGCTTGCAGCACAACAGCATGGGGGCATTTTTTAATGATCCCTTTATGGAGCTGCAGTTTTCTGGACGTCAGTCCAAGTGTTCGTCCTATCAGGTAAAGATATGAGGAAGATCTCTCTGATTCCTATCTTGGTCATGTTTTGTCTTATAAACAGTGTAACAAATATTTTGTGTGTGTGTTTTAAACAGCAGGATCAGTATAATATGTTGGAGAATGTCATGAGCTCTGTGGCAGGAGGGTTTGACCCTTCCTCCAACCTCTACTACTCCCAGGCTGCCCTCATGGGCTTGGGTGGTAGCCATGGCAACCTGCAAGACCACCTTCAGATGAGGCCCAATATGCTCTACTCTAATTGTGGAGGAGGAGTGCCGAACATCATCCTTACAGGTTGGGAGGATCAAACAGCAGGTCGTTGTGAGTCATTAGGAGAATTTACCCTCTTCGTTTTTCATCCCTGTGCCCTGCTTTCAAAGCACAAACTCTGATTCTTAAAGGGGTCATATGATGTTGCTAAAAAGAACATTATTTTGTGTATTTGGTGTAATGAAATGTGTTTATGCGGTTTAAGGTTAAAAAAACACATTATTTTCCACATACTGTACATTATTGTTTCTCCTCTATGCCCCGCCTTTCTGAAACGCATAGATTTTTACAAAGCTCATCGGTCTGAAAAAGTGATGTGTGCTGTGATTGGCCAGCTATTTAGTGCGTTGTGATTGGCCGAATACCTCAAGCGTGTGACGGAAATGTTACGCCCCTTACCATATTGTGATGATGTCCTGTCAGGCCGGAGCGATGATTCAAAAACATGAAAACCCATTATAAACGAGGCATTCGTTGCATCCAGTGAGGACATAATTATGGATTATAATGACTTATACTGTCTTTTTATACTTATACTGCCGCGTAAAGATGAAACCATGTCTGCATTTGTGATCGGAGAAATGACAAACAACAAGCCCTACTCTACACTGCCCAAAAAACTCGCTTTAAATATATAAAATATAAAAACTCTTTAAATATAAAAAACGTACTTACAGTCTTTGAGTCAGAACAGCCGGCATTGTAGTCTACTCTCCCAGGATCAGGAAACAGTCCTCCATAAAATGTGCTGCACACATCTGAATATTTGGGTTGAAGTGTTCTGGAACAGTGTTGTAAATACAACTTAACCACTGATTTCTAGTCGTGTCAATTTTTGGAAGGCCAAACAAAGTAGTTTCACTTTCACAACGAAAAACACAGCGTCACACACGGCAGCCTACAGTGAGCAGAGGCCGGGGGCTAGCGTGAGGAACGGCCAGAGGGTTAGAGTGAGCAGAGGCGGGTAAGCTTGAGAACGGC